GGGCACCAATTTTGAGAAACAAGTGGCTGCCACATGCTATACATCCAGTGGCAAATTAGAACGACTCAAATCATTTGACATCACCATGATTCTGCTGGCACTGAACATTAAAAAACATACTATTTGTATCCATGTGTTTGTTACTATGACTGAATCATTTCCTTGAAATCTTCGGAAAGTCATCAAGGGCACTGTGCTGTCGTGGTCAACCAAAACCGCCTGCAAAGACCACCATGCGTGCTATGGGTAAGTTCGGACGGCATGGTTTGATGGCCATCCGCATGGGTAATCCAAGATTTCACCATGCCACATGCACTTTACAGACTATACAATTACTTGGATTTGCTGAAGGGGAAACAAAACCACACATATTCCGTACAGATTTGGATTGTCCATGGGGAAAGTTTTAAACAAGACCTTAGAGAAAATTAGCAGTTTTGCATTTTGTTGTGTGCTGGGGAACTTCAACCACCACCGCCAAAAACCAAAGAACAAAAGCATGGCAGGCTGGAAAAAGATCAGGATTTTCCACCATTTGATGGTTTTCCCAGCTTTACACCTGCATTTAATTTGGGGTTTCCCAGCTAGCCATGTTTGATTACCGGAAAGACATATTCATTTCCCATTCGTGGCGACAAACATGTCCTAGCGATCCGGTATTCACCGGAGATATCCACAATGTCTTGTAGGCGCAATGTGGGACTCAAAGATAGCTAAGTTGGTTTATAACTACAAGAACTTGAGTTCGTAGTGGAAAAAAATAACATGGAGCTTCCAAAAAAAGGAAACATAACTAGGGGGGCCCACCTTGTAATACCTTGTATACAAAACCAAGATTCACCCTGTTAGCTACCTGCATCCCACGGATGCGGGTATTCACCAATAGACTGCCTGCAAAGAACAAGGTTCAGGTCCTCTACCATCACAGAATGGTCGCCTCTTTTGCATTGAGACCTATTGGGGGACGCGTCATTGATTACCGGAAAGACATATTCATGTCCCATTTGTGGCCACAAACATGTCCTACCAATCCGGTCACCGGAGAAATCCTTTGTCTTGGCTTTACAATGTGGGACTCCAAGATAGCCAAGTTGGTTTATAAACACAAGAACTAGGGTTCATGGTGGATACAACTAAAGATGGAGTAATGAACCAACAAAAACACCTAGGGGGCCCACCTTGTAAAGCCTTGTAATACCTTGTATAGAAAACCAAGATTGCGGGTATTCACCGATAGACTGCTCGCAAAGAAAAGGGTTCAGGTCCTCTACCATCACAGAATGGTCGCCTCAAGCCTCTTTTGCAGTGATACCTATTGGGGAGCGCGTCATAAAAACTAAGCACAGCCTGCACAACTGACAGATATCACGCCCAACGGATGGGAAGCAGTAAAGCTTTGAAGACTCGATGGCAAGGTCACCCGCTCCAGGCTTTGGTTAAAGTCATGGCCAAAACTCAAGCTTTGAAGGCTCGATGGCAAGGTCACCCGCTCCAGGCTTTGGTTAAAATCATTGCCAAAACTCAAGCTTTGAAGGCTCGATGGCAAGGTCACCCGCTCCAGGCTTTGGTTAAAGTTATGGCCAAAGCTCAAGCTTTGAAGGCCCGATGGCAAGATCACCCTCTCCAGACTTCGGTTAAATTCAAAGCCAAAACTCAATCTTTGAAGACTCAATGGCAAGGTCACCCGCTCCAGGCTTTGGTTGAAGTAATGTCCAAAACTCAAGCTTTGAAGACTCGATGGCAAGGTCACCCGCTCCAGGCTTTGGTTGAAATTCCAGCCAAAACTCAAGCTTTGAAGGCTCGATGGCAAGGTCACCCGCTCCAGGCTTTGGTTAAAATCATTGCCAAAACTCAAACTTTGAAGGCTCGATGGCAAGGTCACCCGCTCCAGGCTTTGGTTGAATTTCCAGCCAAAACTCAAGCTTTGAAGACTCGATGGCAAGGTTACCCGCTCCAGGCTTTGGTTGAAATCATTGCCAAAACTCAAACTTTGAAGGCTCGATGGCAAGGTCACCCGCTCCAGGCTTTGGTTAAAAACATTGCCAAAACTCAAGCTTTGAAGGCTCGATGGCAAGATCACCCGCTCCAGGCTTTGGTTAAAATCATGGCAAAAACTCAAGCTTTGAAGGCTCGATGGCACGGTCACCCGCTGGTTGAAGTTCTCACCAAAACTCAAACTTTGAAGGCTCAATGGCAAGGCCAGCCGCTCCAGGCTTTGGTTGAAATTCACGCCAAAATTCAAGCTTTGAAGGCTCGATGGCAAGGTCACCCGCTCCAGGCTTTGGTTAAAATCATGGCCAAAACTCAAGCTTTGAAGACTCGATGGCAAGGTCACCCGCTCCAGGCTTTGGTTAAACATCCCGCAAAAACTCAAGCATTGAAGATTTAATGGCAAGGTCACCCGTTCCAGGCTTTGGTTAAAATCATTACCAAAACTCAAGCTTTGAAGACTCGATGGCAAGGTCACCCGCTCCAGGCTTCGGTTAAAGTAATGTCCAAAAATCAAGCTTTGAAGGCTCGATGGCAAGGTCACCCGCTCCAGGCTTTGGTTAAATGTCCTGCCAAAACTCAAGCTTTGAAGACTCGATGGCAAGGTCGCCCGTTCCAGGCTTTGGTTAAAATCATTGCCAAAACTCAAGCTTTGAAGGCTCGATGGCAAGGTCACCTGCTCCAGGCTTCGGTTGAAATTCTCACCAAAACTCAAGCTTTGAAGACTCGATGGCAAGGTCACCCGCTCCAGGCTTTGGTTGAATTGTTCACCAAGAGTCAATTTTGCAAGGCTGTGGGGAAGATAATGTAAATACTCTCCAGCTGTCTCTGCCTCAAGTTGTGTAGCACCCTCCAGCGCAACCTCTCTCTCACTAGTTGAGAGCCCACAAACAAAACACCATGCAGTGTACACATTTGTCGGTATGTAAGTGCAGGACAGCATTGCAGATTTTCCAACAATTCCTTGCTCTGCCAAGGTTTGATTCAGCGTCAGCTTTGTATTGACATGATGCACGGCGAGCTTTGCGCCTGGCTTGCATGGAAGCTTCTCTGACACCAATCTGTGCAGCTCATATCCAAGCATAGAGCAAGGGACGCTTAGTGTCACTCCTTCTCCAGTCAAGCACAGCACCTGAAGATCGACCTCATCAGTTTCATCTGCTGGACCTTTGCCAGTAGATGATGGATCCACATAGCCATGTTGTGCACCGGACATTGTCAGAAATTACATCTATACTCACTTCAGCGCCAAGCCGAAATATCTTCGCAAAAACCAAGGGATACAATTCTGAAATCTAACATGGCCCCGTCCTTTTGGGCCATTTCTAAGTACGCCATCTCCAAGTGGGCTCCCTGTGGGCTCCTTCAATCCATGTCCGCCTTTGATTGAATGATTCAATGTCCAAGATTGTTAGTGAAACATATCTATAATAATATCTATCAGGTGGGGCCCCTACTTACAGGATATTTTATTGGTTAGTAACTCCTTTGTAATCATAGTTCGTTCATCTATGATGGGAGAATCCACGAATCGGGGACTTACATGCCAGGTTTATTCACCACTTGTCAAGTGGAATGATCCAAGTAGATAGCCAAGTTGGTATCTAAGTATATAAAAGTAGGTTTTAAGTGTTGGGAGTATTGTAGATATATCCAGCACGTCTAAGGGAGGCCACCGCTCCATAAGGGAGGCCACCGTGCCAACGTGCTCTTCACATCACAGGGGTGCACCACCCGGACCTTGCACAACCTTTCGGCAAGGGTGCCCTCCCAGTGATGTGAACGGTGTTTATAGAAACCCAGTTCGACTAGCTCGATCTAGTTTGATATAATGTGGGTAAAACAATAATGAACTATCCCCCAACATCACAAATTGGTGGTATCTTTACCATTCCCAGTCATGGCTGGTTTATGACATTGTTTTACCTACATTATATCTACATATATCTACCATAGTTCCCCGTCGTTCACCAACTTTTTGCGATGAAAACAACTGGGACACCACCAAACCTATAGAGTGTGATGTTTGCATATCTTCACCCCGTGTTTTTCCCCAAGAAATGAATCACCTGCGGAACCCTTCCGACTTTGTCGTGAATCAATTCCCAGTCTTGATGGGTGAAACCAATATATGTATATATAATATATAAATATAAATCACTAATTAAATATTATCACTAAGATTATCACCAATTTTACTTTTGCCAATCTTGAATTTCCTTGAACAAGATACACTTTAGCTGGCTAGGTATTCTTATTTCCACGCATGATTACCACAACAGAATGACCTGTACTAAACTACCAAAATCCAAGGGTTGGTTATCCATGATGCCCCACCCATTTCTGATGGTAAAACCCATCCCGGTTGGTTCTTGCAGATTTACATCCGTTGAATTTCGAGTGCCGGCTGCAAGCACAGCGACATATTTTTTTTACGCCAGGTCAATGGTGTTGAAACATGTTGAAACCCTCATTTTTCTGGGTAAACCAACATTGATCTTTCAAGATTTCCTAAGATTTCCAAAGATATCCTTAAAAACTTACTGGTGCTTAGTAGGGAATGAGGGAATGATCCACAATAACTATTAATAATAATAATAATAATCCCATTCCCTATTCCCATCCATTCCCTACTAAGCAACAGTAGGAAAAGTTCAAAGATTTCCTACAAAGATTTCCTACTTCCGAAGATTTCCTACGAGGTGGTGTCCCAGAGTTAGCGAAGTTAGTTTATAAGCTCGATACCTTGGGTTTATGGCAGTTATATCTATATATAGTTAATGGATGTTAATGGCTGGTTGGTGGTATACCTACCCCGCTGAAAAATATGAGTTCGTCAGTTGGGATGATTATTCTCAATACATGGAAAGTCATAAAATTCATGTTCCAAACCACCAAACAGCTATAGTTACTGGGCTTTATAAGCCAACTTACAACGTTCGGGGCCCACATTGTAAGATTTCCCAATGGTATCATTCTCCAAGATTTTCCAGCAAGCCGTGAATCATCGCCTCGGCGTCGCGGCCATCCTTGGACACCTCCGCGGCCTAGCGACTGATGGGAGTTTCCCATCAGTTTCAATGGGCTGGGAACATCTACTGGAAACCATCGATTTTTCTATGAAATTTAGGTCCTCTGGCCGGTGTTTCCTGCAAGTTTTCCCCTAAACCAATCCATTGAAACATTTGGGATTCAACTTTTTTGGGTATACAATCATGTGTCTATTGGACAACAGAAACTTATGACTCATGACATGTTCAATAGACACATCGTCTTCCAAAACGATTTCTTATACGTCTTTTTATTAGTGGTTAGTCCGGTGTATATCGATTTCTAAGAAATTTCTGTGCGTGGATATTGACACATTCCTATCCGGTCCATAAACCCTAGAGTACAATCTACAACTGGTGAAACTCCAAATTCAAATTCATCATCATTAAACTGCCAGGATATTGCCAATCTGTTCTCAAATGATTAAGTTTGGTCAAATCATCCTCTCCAGGATGGTAAATAACTGGTTGGTGGTCGACCAACCCCTCTGAAAAATATGAGTTCGTCAGTTGGGATGATGACATTCCCAATATCTGGAAAGTCATAAAATTCCATGGTTCCAAACCACCAACCAGATAACCATGGATAGACCCATTATAACCATTAATAACTTGATTAATAATCCAGAAAGGTACATTCTAAGTTTATTAGCCCCAGAAAACCTTCTTTCTGTCGGCTAGAGAGATCGAACGACTACCCAACATTCAAGGGATCCCAGTCTCATGGAGATTCAACCAACCCCAAAATTCAGCACCAAAAAAGAGATAGTTTGGCCCTTATCATTGTTGGATGTTGGTGCTTGATGCGCCCCGGGGTCACATGACTGGCGAATCGGCAGGACAAAGCTGAGGGAAATCAATGGGGCACGGAAAGAAACTTGGATTTGCTGAAGGGGTCAAAAAAAACAATATATTCCCTACAGTTTTGGATTGTCCATGGGGGAAGTTTTCAAGAAGACCTTAAAGAAACCCAGCGGTTTTGCATTTTATGCTGGGCAACTTCAACCAGGGCCCTCAAAAACATCAGGATTTTCCACCATTTCCCATTTGTGGCAACAAACATGTCTTAGCGATCCGGTCACCGGAGATATCCACAATGTCTTGTCGGCTCTACAATGTGGGACTCCAAGAAAGCTAAGTTGGTTAACCACAAGAACTAAGATTCATGGTGGATATAACTAAAGATGGAGTTATAAACTAACAAACGAAACTGGGGGGCCCACCTGTAATACCTGGTATCGAAAACCAAGATTCACCCTTTTAGCTATCTGCATCCCTCGGATGCGGGCATTCACCGATAGACTGCTCGCAAAGAAAAGGATTCAGGTCCTCTACCACAGAAAGGTCGCCCCAAGCCTCTTTTGCATTGGTACCTATTGGGGGACGGGTCATAGAAACTAAGCACAGCCTTCACAACTGACAGATATCATGCCCAACCGATGGGAAGCAGTAAAGCTTTGAAGACTCGATGGCAAGGTCACCTGCTCCAGGCTTTGGTTAAATTTTTCACCAAAACTCAAGCTTTGAAGACTCGATGGCAAGGTCACCCGCTCCAGGCTTTGGTTGAAATTCGCGCCAAAACTCCAGCTTTGAAGGCTCGATGGCAAGGTCACCCGCTCCAGGCTTTGGTTAAAATCATGGCCAAAACTCAAGCTTTGAAGACTCGATGGCAAGGTCACCGCTCCAGGCTTTGGTTAAATTTTTCAAAACTCAAGCTTTGAAGACTCGATGGCAAGGTCACCCGCTCCAGGCTTTGGTTGAAATTCGCGCCAAAACTCCAGCTTTGAAGGCTCGATGGCAAGGTCACCCGCTCCAGGCTTTGGTTAAAATCATGGCCAAAACTCAAGCTTTGAAGACTCGATGGCAAGGTCACCCGCTCCAGGCTTTGGTTAAAGTTATGGCCAAAACTCAAGCTTTGAAGGCCCGCTGGCAAGATCACCCTCTCCAGACTTCGGTTAAATTCAAAGCCAAAACTCAATCTTTGAAGACTCAATGGCAAGGTCACCCGCTCCAGGCTTTGGTTGAAGTAATGTCCAAAACTCAAGCTTTGAAGACTCGATGGCAAGGTCACCCGCTCCAGGCTTTGGTTGAAATTCGCGCCAAAACTCAAGCTTTGAAGGCTCGATGGCAAGGTCACCCGCTCCAGGCTTTGGTTAAAATCATGGCCAAAACTCAAGCTTTGAAGACTCGATGGCAAGGTCACCCGCTCCAGGCTTTGAATTTGGTTAAACTTCGTACCAAAACTCAAGCTTTGAAGACTTGATGGCCAGGTCACCCGCTCCAGGCTTTGGTTAAAATCATTGCCAAAACTCAAACTTTGAAGGCTCGATGGCAAGGTCACCTGCTCCAGGCTTTGGTTGAATGTCCAGCCAAAATTCAAGCTCTGAAGGCTCGACGGCAAGGTCACCCGCTCCAGGCCTTGCTTAAAACAATGGCCCAAACTCAAGGTTCGAAGACTCGATGGCAAGGTCACCCGCTCCAGGCTTTGGTTAAACTTCTCACCAAAACTCAAGCTTTGAAGACTCGATGGCAAGGTCACCCGCTCCAGGCTTTGGTTGAAATCATCGCCAAAACTCAAGCATTGAAGACTTAATGGCAAGGTCACCCGCTCCAGGCTTTGGTTAAAACCATGGCCAAAACTCAAGCTTTGGAGGCTCGATGGCAAGGTCACCCGCTCCAGGCTTCGGTTGAAATCACCACCAAAACTCAAGCTTTGAAGACTCGATGGCAAGGTCACCCGCTCCAGGCTTTGGTTGAAGTAATGTCCAAAACTCAAGCTTTGAAGACTCGATGGCAAGGTCACCCGCTCCAGGCTTTGGTTGAAATTCCAGCCAAAACTCAAGCTTTGAAGGCTCGATGGCAAGGTCACCCGCTCCAGGCTTTGGTTAAAGTAGAGGCCAAAACTCAAGTTTTGAAGGCTCGATGGCAAGGTCACCTGCTCCAGGCTTTGGTTAAATCTGCAGCCAAAACTCAAGCTTTGAAGACTCGATGGCAAGGTCACCCGCTCCAGGCTTTGGTTGAAATTCTCATTGAAAGTGAATTTTGCGAGGCTGTGGGGAAGATAATGTAAATACTCTCCACTCGTCGCTCTCTCAAGTTGTGTAACACCCTCCAGTGCAACCTCTCTCTCACTAGTTGGGCGCCCACAGACAAAACACCATGCAGTGTACACATTTGTCGGTATGTAAGTGCAGGACAGCATTGCAGATTTTCCAACAATTCCTTGCTCTGCCAAGGTTTGATTCAGCGTCAGCTTTGTATTGACATGATGCACGGCGAGCTTTGCGCCTGGCTTGCATGGAAGCTTCTCTGACACCAATCTGTGCAGCTCATATCCAAGCATAGAGCAAGGGACGCTTAGTGTCACTCCTTCTCCAGTCAAGCACAGCACCTGAAGATCGACCTCATCAGTTTCATCTGCTGGACCTTTGCCAGTAGATGGATCCACATAGCCATGTTGTGCACCGGACATCGTCAGAAATTACATCTATACTCACTACAGCGCCAAGCCGAAATATCTTCGCAAAAACCAAGGGATACAACTCTGAAATCTAACGCCTCGTCCTTTTGGGCCATTTCTAAGTACGCCATCTCCAAGTGGGCTCCCTGTGGGCTGGAATCCATTTCCGCCTTTGATTCAATGATTCAACGTCCAAGATTGTTAGTGACACATACCTATAAGATATCTATAAGGTGGGGCCCCTACTTAGAGGATTTTTTATTGGTTAGTAACTGCTTTGTAATCATCGTTCATCTATGGGATAAGCCACGAATCGGGGACTCGCCAGGTTTTAAAAAAACCACTTGTTAAAGTGGAATGATCCAAGGTGGTGCCCTCCCGATGTGAACGGTGATAGAAACCCAGTTCAACTAGCTCAATCTTTGATTTGTGGGTAAAACAATGTCATAAACTATCCCCCAAATCATACCATTCCCAAATGGGTGGTTTATGACATTGCTTTACCGACATTATATCTACATATATCTACCATAGTTCTCCGTTGTTCACCAACTTTTTGCGATGAAAACAACTGGGACACCACCTTCTATAGGGGGTGATGTTCACATATCTTCGCCCCTAACCCGCAGAAATATCACCTTACCAACCCTTCCGGCTTTGTCGTGAATCAATTCCCAGTCTTGTTGGGTGAAACCAATATACTTTAATATATTATATATATATGAATATATTATAGTAATTTTAAGATATCATATATTATCACTAATACTATCACCAATTTTACTCTTGCCAATCCTGAATTTCCTTTAACAAGATACTCTTTAGCTGGCTAGGTCTTTTTTTCCCCACATCATTACCACAACAGAATGACCTGTACTAAACTACCACAATCCAAGGGTTGGTTGCCCATGATACACCACCTATTTCTGAGCAAATCCAAGCCATTTCTGAAGGTAAAACCCATCCCGGTTGGTTCTTGCAGATTTAAATCCGTTGAATTTCGAGTGCCGGCTGCAAGCACAGCGACATATTTTTTTTGACGCCAGGTCAATGGTGTTGAAACCCTCATTTTCTGGGTAAACCAACATTGAACTTTCAAGATTTCCTAAGATTTCAAAAAGATATCCTTAAAACGTTCAAACATTTCCTACTTCCGAAGATATCCTACAAGGCGGTCCCCCAGAGTTAGCTAAGTTAGTTTATAAGCTCAATAACTTGGGTTTATGGCAGTTATATCTATAGTTAATGGGCTTTATAAGCCAACAAACACAACGTTCGGGGGGCCCACATTGTAAGATTTCCCAATGGTATCATTCTCCAAGATTTTCCAGCAACCCGTGAATCATCGCCTCGGCGTCGCGGCCATCCTTGGCCACTTCCGCAGCCTAGCGACTGATGGGAGTTTCCCATCAGTTTCAATGGGCTGGGAACATCTACTGGAAACCATCAATTTTCCTATGAAATTTAGGTCCTCTGTCCGGTGTTTCCTGCAAGTTTTCCCCTAAACCAATCCATTGAAACATTTGGGATTCAACTTTTTTGGGTATACAATCATGTGTCTATTGGACAACAGAAACTTATGACTCATGACATGTTCAATAGACACATCGTCTTCCAAAACGATTTCTTATACGTCTTTTTATTAGTGGTTAGTCCGGTGTATATCGATTTCTAAGAAATTTCTGTGCGTGGATATTGACACATTCCTATCCGGTCCATAAATCCTAGAGTACAATCTACAACTGGTGAAACTCCAAATTCAAATTCATCATCATTAAACTGCCAGGATATTGCCAATCTGTTCTCAAATGATTAAATATGGTCGAATCATCCTCTCCAAGATCATGGTAAATAACTGGTTGGTGGTATACCTACCCCTCTGAAAAATATGAGTTCGTCAGTTGGGGTGATGACATTCCCAATATCTGGAAAGTCATAAAATTCCATGGTTCCAAACCACCAACCAGATAACCATGGATAGACCCATTATAACCATTAATAACTTGATTAATAATCCAGAAAGGTACATTCTAAGTTTATTAGCCCCAGAAAACATTCTTTCTGTCGGCTACAGAGATCGAACGACTACCCAACATTCAAGGGATCCCAGTCTCATGGAGATTCAACCAACCCCAAAATTCAGCACCAAACAAGAGATAGTTTGGCCCTTATCATTGTTGGATGTTGGTGCTTGATGCGCCCCGGGGTCACATGACTGGCGAATCGGCAGGACAAAACTGAGGGAAATCAATGGGGCACGGAAAGAAACTTGGATTTGCTGAAGGGGTCAAAAAAAACAATATATTCCCTACAGATTTGGATTGTCCATGGGGGAAGTTTTCAAGAAGACCTTAAAGAAACCCAGCGGTTTTGCATTTTATGCTGGGCAACTTCAACCAGGGCCCTCAAAAACATCAGGATTTTCCACCATTTCCCATTTGTGGCAACAAACATGTCTTAGCGATCCGGTCACCGGAGATATCCACAATGTCTTGTCGGCTCTACAATGTGGGACTCCAAGAAAGCTAAGTTGGTTAACCACAAGAACTAAGATTCATGGTGGATATAACTAAAGATGGAGTTATAAACTAACAAACGAAACTGGGGGGCCCACCTGTAATACCTGGTATCGAAAACCAAGATTCACCCTTTTAGCTATCTGCATCCCTCGGATGCGGGCATTCACCGATAGACTGCTCGCAAAGAAAAGGATTCAGGTCCTCTACCACAGAAAGGTCGCCCCAAGCCTCTTTTGCATTGGTACCTATTGGGGGACGGGTCATAGAAACTAAGCACAGCCTTCACAACTGACAGATATCATGCCCAACCGATGGGAAGCAGTAAAGCTTTGAAGACTCGATGGCAAGGTCACCTGCTCCAGGCTTTGGTTAAATTTTTCACCAAAACTCAAGCTTTGAAGACTCGATGGCAAGGTCACCCGCTCCAGGCTTTGGTTGAAATTCGCGCCAAAACTCCAGCTTTGAAGGCTCGATGGCAAGGTCACCCGCTCCAGGCTTTGGTTAAAATCATGGCCAAAACTCAAGCTTTGAAGACTCGATGGCAAGGTCACCCGCTCCAGGCTTTGGTTAAAGTTATGGCCAAAACTCAAGCTTTGAAGGCCCGCTGGCAAGATCACCCTCTCCAGACTTCGGTTAAATTCAAAGCCAAAACTCAATCTTTGAAGACTCAATGGCAAGGTCACCCGCTCCAGGCTTTGGTTGAAGTAATGTCCAAAACTCAAGCTTTGAAGACTCGATGGCAAGGTCACCCGCTCCAGGCTTTGGTTGAAATTCGCGCCAAAACTCAAGCTTTGAAGGCTCGATGGCAAGGTCACCCGCTCCAGGCTTTGGTTGAAGTCATGGCCAAAACTCAAGCTTTGAAGACTCGATGGCAAGGTCACCCCCTCCAGGCTTTGGTTGAAATTCTCACCAAGACTCAAGCTTTGCAGACTCGATGGCAAAATTGGTTGAAATTCGCGCCAAAACTCAAGCTTTGAAGGCTCGATGGCAAGGTCACCCGCTCCAGGCTTTGGTTAAAATTATGGCCAAAACTCAAGCTTTGAAGACTCGATGGCAAGGTCACCCGCTCCAGGCTTTGAATTTGGTTAAACTTCGTACCAAAACTCAAGCTTTGAAGACTTGATGGCCAGGTCACCCGCTCCAGGCTTTGGTTAAAATCATTGCCAAAACTCAAACTTTGAAGGCTCGATGGCAAGGTCACCTGCTCCAGGCTTTGGTTGAATGTCCAGCCAAAATTCAAGCTCTGAAGGCTCGACGGCAAGGTCACCCGCTCCAGGCCTTGCTTAAAACAATGGCCCAAACTCAAGGTTCGAAGACTCGATGGCAAGGTCACCCGCTCCAGGCTTTGGTTAAACTTCTCACCAAAACTCAAGCTTTGAAGACTCGATGGCAAGGTCACCCGCTCCAGGCTTTGGTTGAAATCATCGCCAAAACTCAAGCATTGAAGACTTAATGGCAAGGTCACCCGCTCCAGGCTTTGGTTAAAACCATGGCCAAAACTCAAGCTTTGGAGGCTCGATGGCAAGGTCACCCGCTCCAGGCTTCGGTTGAAATCACCACCAAAACTCAAGCTTTGAAGACTCGATGGCAAGGTCACCCGCTCCAGGCTTTGGTTGAAGTAATGTCCAAAACTCAAGCTTTGAAGGCTCAATGGCAAGGTCACCGGCTCCAGGCTTTGGTTGAATTTCCAGCCAAAAATCAAGCTTTGAAGACTCGATGGCAAGGTCACCCGCTCCAGGCTTTGGTTGAAATGATGGCCAAAACTCAAGCTTTGAAGGCTCGATGGCAAGGTCACCTGCTCCAGGCTTTGGTTAAATCTGCAGCCAAAACTCAAGCTTTGAAGACTCGATGGCAAGGTCACCCGCTCCAGGCTTTGGTTGAAATTCTCATTGAAAGTGAATTTTGCGAGGCTGTGGGGAAGATAATGTAAATACTCTCCACTCGTCGCTCTCTCAAGTTGTGTAACACCCTCCAGTGCAACCTCTCTCTCACTAGTTGGGCGCCCACAGACAAAACACCATGCAGTGTACACATTTGTCGGTATGTAAGTGCAGGACAGCATTGCAGATTTTCCAACAATTCCTTGCTCTGCCAAGGTTTGATTTAGCGTCAGCTTTGTATTGACATGATGCACGGCGAGCTTTGCGCCTGGCTTGCATGGAAGCTTCTCTGACACCAATCTGTGCAGCTCATATCCAAGCATAGAGCAAGGGACGCTTAGTGTCACTCCTTCTCCAGTCAAGCACAGCACCTGAAGATCGACCTCATCAGTTTCATCTGCTGGACCTTTGCCAGTAGATGGATCCACATAGCCATGTTGTGCACCGGACATCGTCAGAAATTACATCTATACTCACTACAGCGCCAAGCCGAAATATCTTCGCAAAAACCAAGGGATACAACTCTGAAATCTAACGCCTCGTCCTTTTGGGCCATTTCTAAGTACGCCATCTCCAAGTGGGCTCCCTGTGGGCTGGAATCCATTTCCGCCTTTGATTCAATGATTCAACGTCCAAGATTGTTAGTGACACATACCTATAAGATATCTATAAGGTGGGGCCCCTACTTAGAGGATTTTTTATTGGTTAGTAACTGCTTTGTAATCATCGTTCATCTATGGGATAAGCCACGAATCGGGGACTCGCCAGGTTTTAAAAAAACCACTTGTTAAAGTGGAATGATCCAAGGTGGTGCCCTCCCGATGTGAACGGTGATAGAAACCCAGTTCAACTAGCTCAATCTTTGATATGTGGGTAAAACAATGTCATAAACTATCCCCCAAATCATACCATTCCCAAATGGGTGGTTTATGACATTGCTTTACCGACATTATATCTACATATATCTACCATAGTTCTCCGTTGTTCACCAACTTTTTGCGATGAAAAAAAACTGGGACACCACCTTCTATAGGGGGTGATGTTCACATATCTTCGCCCCTACGTCTTCGTATCCCGCAGAAATATCACCTTACCAACCCTTCCGGCTTTGTCGTGAATCAATTCCCAGTCTTGTTGGGTGAAACCAATATACCTTAATATATTATATATATATAAATATATATTATGGTAATTTTAAAATATCATATATTATCACTAATATTATCACCAATTTAACTCTTGCCAATCCTGAATTTCCTTTAACAAGATACTCTTTAGCTGGCTAGGTCTTTTTTTTTCCCCACATCATTACCACAACAGAATGACCTGTACTAAACTACCACAATCCAAGGGTTGGTTGCCCATGATACACCACCTATTTCTGAGCAAATCCAAACCATTTCTGGTGGTAAAATTCATCCCTGTTGGTTCTTGCAGATTTACATCCGTTGAATTTCTAGTGCTGGCTGCAAGCAGAGCGATAATTTTTTTTTGACGCCAGGTCAATGGTGTTGAAACCCCCATTTTCTGGGTAAACCAACATTGATCTTTCAAGATTTCCTAAGATTTCTAAAGATAGCCTTAAAAAGTTCAAACAGGAGGTGTCCTAGAGTTAGCTAAGAAAGTTTATAAGCTCAAACTTGGGTTTATGGTAGTTATATCTATAGTTAATGGCTGAATTGATATAATTGGTAATACTGACTGGTATAAGTGGCTGAATTCTATGCTTTATGGTAGATATACTGTATAATACTGATATAATTGACTATAGTTGGATGGGGTTGTCTATATGGTTACTGATATTTATAGCTGATTTCTGATGGTTAAGTTGGTTTCTAACTCCCATAACTATGGTTTATGGTAGATATAACTATAGTTAATGGGCTTTATAAACCAACTTACAACGTTCAGGGGGCCCATTGTAAGATTTCCCAATATCCTCATTCTCCAAGATTTTCCAACCCGTGAATCATCGCCTCGGCGTTGCTTTCCTTCGACACTTCCGCGGCCTAGCAATGACAACTCCCATCAGTTTCAATGGATTGGCTGGGAACATCTACTGGAAACCATCGATTTTCCATTGAAATATAGGTCCTATAGACTGTTTCCTGTAACTTTTCACCCAAACCAATTCAGAGAAACTTATGGGATTCATTTTTTTGGGTATACAATCGTGTGTCTATTGGAAAACAGAAACTTATGACATGTTCAATAGATACATCATCTTCCAAAACGATTTCTTATACGTCTTTTTATTAATGGTTAGTCTGGTGTATATCAATTTCAAAGAAATTTCTCTGCGTGAATATCGACAAATTCCTATCCGGTCCATAAATCCTAGAGTACAATCCACAACTGGTGAAGCTCCACATTCAAATTCATCATCTGATTGAAATGCCAAGATATTGCCGATCTGTTCTCAAAAAGTAAATATGGTCAAATCATCCTCTCCAGGATCATGGTAAATAACTGGTTGGTGGTTGAGCCCACCCCTCTGAAAAATGATGGAGTGAAAGTCAGTTGGGATGATGACATTCCCAGCTGAATGGAAAGTCATAAAATTCCATGGTTCCAAACCACCAACCAGATAAGGTACATTCTAAGTTTAGTAGCCCCAGAAAACCTTCTGTCGGCTACAGAGATCGAACGACTACCCAACATTCAAGGGAGTATCCCAGTCTCATGGAGATTCAACCAACCCCAAAATTCAGCACCAAAAAAGAGATAGTTTGGCCCTTATCATTGTTGGATGTTGGTGCTTGATACGCCCCGGGGTCACATGACTGGCGAATCGGCAGGACAAAGCGGAAGGAAATCAATGGCACACGGAAAGAAATTTACACAAACATCCATAAACGTCATTTAATTGATTTATATAAATGAAAGTTTAACAAAGGATTTGCCAATAGTGGTATTACATGTGGATTTACCATCATAACTTTACAGTAAATTTCAGCATGTTGGATTTACCATCATCACCATTTGACAAGAAAGTTGCAGGAAACAGAGGTTTCACCGTTCATTGGATGGTTTTTCCTTTACATGTCTCATGAAGCCAAATCTGGGAAACAGTGTTGGTGATTGCATCAACGAGCAGATTACTGATTGCACTACCACATCCTCTTCACCCAGGGACAAACACCCGAAAAAGACACAGGTTATAGAATCTGAACAGCCAACCCATTATTATAACCATTAATCATCAATAACCCACTAGTAAACCATGGTTATTAACCATATAACCAGTCATCTACCGACTGGTGCAGTATTTCTTCCACAATTTTAATGGGTAAATCATCTATAAATGTGCCATTTTCCATAGCTACGTTAAATAACCAGAGGGTAATATGTTTGTTTTTTTTCCCAATGTCAGGATGCCTAAAGTTGAAGCAACTGAAGCCACCCGTGCTTGGGAACCGCTCATCTCCCATTTTGTAGGACGACAAGCAGTTCCCAAGTGAAAGAGATGGTAGCTGATTTCACGAGGTAAATTCTATGGTTTATGCTGGTTTCTGGTATCCTATATATATATATTATATCAATCTATAGATGGATGTGTAAGCAAAAACCAAAAAAGGGTGGGAAAATATTGTAAGCACAAATATGATATTGACCGTTGATAATTTATCTGTTCAGGCCACGTCGAACGTTCCTTCATGTTTGATGGTTATTCATCCCCCTAAGGTTTGTGTACCATCTGGTTATTTAACATAGCCATGGAAAATCCATTCTAAATGGAGGTTTTGGAAAATCATACTTTTAAATCATAAATCATTGAACTAACTGGGGGTGTGGTTTCCATAGCTATGTTAAACAATTACTCAGAGGATATATCCCTATCCTCGCTGATAAAATCTCATTTTGATAGCCAAATTGATTTATGGTTGGTTTTACACCTGCTATTTACATCCCATAGTCAGTAAATCCTGTGTGATACTGTGGATGGTTGCGAAATCCTGCACCACCAAAAGGGTGGTTGAAACCCTGTAAATGATGGGATGTTTACCACCTATCAACTGGTGCAGGATTTCTTCCATCCACAGTAGCTCCCACGTTCCATCTGTGCCTCTCCCGCTGCTGCAGGCGCACCCTCCGCTGCAGCCATGGTGGCTCGTGGGCAAAAACACGCTGACGTGTGATGAAACGTGACCTGCCAAAGTCTGAGGTTGGAGATTCTCATCATCTCAAGTTGAGTTAGACTAAGAGATACTTAACTTATTCAACTTATATAACATATTCAACTTGATGCTTCAAATCAATCTTATGAACTGAGTTCAAGCCGCATCTGACGCGATTTTCAAGCGCAGCTGTATCCTGAAGCCGAGTGGGGTCTGCCTTCAAGATGTTCCAAACAATCCCTGCTTCAATCCTTGTATCTACCTACATCTATCCCCACAAAACTGAAGTCATGATATGTCATGGTCTCTGGTTTTTCTATGTTTTTCTGGTAGGTAGCCAGTGTCACTTGGCTATATAGTATATCTTTTAGTCTGGCGAGACATCCAATCTTTGCCGCTGTAACCTGGGCCAAACCTAGCAGGCGGTGTACCCTTCCCTCCGGTTTGACGAGCAGATTTGCAATCCAATTTTTGATAATGGCCCATACGTTTGAAGCAACAGTAGAATCAATAACCAGTCACTGCGGTTTTTGGCCCAAAGAATCCAAACATTGACATTGTGCTCATTTATAGCAATCAATAAAACACACAAGCAACCACTACCTTGTAGTCACTACCTGCTTGCATCCAAAGTTTGTGATCCCCATATGTCGGCAAAATCTGCATGGCAATAGAGAGGAGGGTTTAGATCAATTTGCCATGATTTACCTGTTGGTGGTTGACAGTTTTTTTTGGGTGTTTATCATCAATCTCATTATAATTTGCCAAATAGATACCATATCGTGACACCGTTTCTAAATATTTGCGGGTAGTACTACGCCTCTGGTAAACTAACAGTTTTTTATGGAAAATCACCACCTTTAATATCTAAATCAACGAACTAAATTTGCCATTTTCAATAGCTATGTAACAAATTCCCAGAGAGTATACCCCAAAATCGTCCTTTTAAATGGGAAAATTATCATAAACCATTGGATTTTGTATGTACTATATAACCGTTACAACTAACATGTTTCGCCTTTTTCTCCATCGCTGTGGTCTTCACAACTTGCAGCTGCAACGCCCTGAGTGGCACAAATGCCATTCCACTGACCGATCCAACAAATGTTGTGGCATTAAGATATTGCTGGCGCGACCCTGAAGTCATAAATGAGGTAGTCATAGTTATTGAAAACGCGACCCTGAGTCTGAAAATAGGGTACCCCAAGAAACTATTGTTTATCTTCACCTTCCCAGTAAAGGACCCTTTTTCAGCCACCATCAATTTCAGACACACCCACATTGATTAAATCTCTCTCTTAACAGTGTGTAGTAAACAAAAACAAAATAGGCTGAGTGTTTTTAGCTTTAGAACGGTTTCAGCTTCTCAATCCGGGTATGTAATGACATAGTGGGTAACCACATACACTAAACAGTAGGGGCATAAAGCATCACCATTACCATCACCACCATCATGATCATGATCATGATCATCATTCTCATGTTCAAAGCACAAAATGAGCTCAATGGAAGAGAATCCTCAGGGGTTTGACTCTTAAAGCAAATCAGCCAAGTGAATAAAATAATATGAAATCAACCATTCTCAGAAAACTGGATTCTTTCCATTCCAGATAGTCAAGGGATTGTGTGTTCACTTCCCGATCTACCATGAGTATCCATGGGTTATATCAGGAAACCATTGCAATTCAACATATGTAAATCCGTGGAGCGGAAAGTTCCCTTACATGTTCTGTAGCAATTGCGATTTGTGGTTTCAACAAGTCTCAGGAATATCGGCTTCAAGTCCATGAACCACACGAGTCCTAGATATAAACAATAGATATGCGTTCTGAAAATTTTGGAGAACCCCCCCAGCAATTCCAACGGATTCTCATATATATAATTGTCTTTATTAAAATGGCCGCAACTGCGGGTATCCTCTGTTTTCAGACAAAGCCATATTTGTGCAAAGGTCAAAACATGGTACATGGTTTACAGTCATCCATCCCACAATGAGAATCCTTAAAATGGCTGTATATAAATGTATATATGTATGTATATATATATAAATCCCTATTAATTGGCTTGGTGGTTTCAATCCCTCTGAAAAAAATAAATAGTCAGTTGGGATAATATTCCCACCTGAATGGAAATATAAAAAACATTTTCCAACCACCAGCCATTAATGGATTGATGAGCATTCCCTATCATGGATATACAATCCAACTATTGACGGCCCCTGTGATAGTCGTCTCCAGCCATCTCACCTGGGAAGCGTAGATAAACCATGGGATCAGTTGACAGCTTCGTAAATTGGTTATTTATGCCACTATATCAAGTTGTAACTGAGTTACTCACCAGTTAACTAGTCTTATGGCCCATATAAGTAGCCATTTTTTCACCATCTGGTCATAGTCTTTTAACATTTCTTAGTCTTGTGGCCCATCTACGTAGCAATTCAAACGTCTTCGCCCCAAACGTATCAAACGTCTTCGCCAACGGCCAGTGCCGACGATCGTCCCTTTAGGACCATCCAGCGAGGACGCTGCAGGGGACGGTGCTGCGAAGGGTACACCTGGAAGTGGTACGGAAGTACCATGGAAATTGATGGGATATGATTCACATTACCCTCTGGTAAACTAACATAGATATGGACAATGGCCCGTTTATAGATGGTTTACTGTTCTTAAAAATTGTGATTTTCCATGGCTATGTTAAATAACCAGATGGTAAGATAATATGGAAGTTTATGAACATGACCCTTCAGCAAATTCACATAGACCCTGGTACTTGGCTGGTTGGAAGGCACATTTCCAGCTAATCATCGTCTATTTTCAGGGTCTATGTTCATTTGATAGAAGGTAACAATTTGACCTTGGTTGTGGTTACATTTCTATGCTTCATGGTGTATGAAAACACTATATAATTTATCGACATTACATGGTGTTTATTTCCTGGAGCGTATATCAACAGCCCATTTCTTGAGGGTATAGTATAGTTATGTTATATATATATATAGTCTGGGATACCCTGCATAAAATGAAATACACATGGCCAAATGGGCCATTCTCCAATATGTTAGCTGACTGCAGGGTAGGTATCCACCATAAATCCAGCAGTTCGCTCAAAATAAAGCTAACTCAACTATCATAAATCAAATAAACAACTATGAATCCTAATTTTCGGTGAATAAATCTGCATTTTGCATCATCTTGCACCATCTTTGATGGTCAAATCACCTATATAGTTGGTGAAACCGTCATTTTCCCCATGTTTGATCGTTAACTATCACCATTCCCCCAGGTTTGATGCTTAAATCACCATGTTTCAAAATTTCCCACATGTTTGATGCTTGTTTCCACCAGTCATTTTCATATCGTTGGGTGGCTACATGTCAGGGCAACCACTTTGGGAGTGTTCTCGTGGCACCTTCAATTCATCAATCGAGCAAATGTCACCACGTGCCAACTCCTGAGCAACCATGTGGATTTAATGATTCAACATAAGAAGAACATGGATCTTTGATGTATGAAATAGAAAAACCACTCAACATCTCGGATTCAATTTTGGGCTAAAACCAGCTGAAACCACTCAAAGTCACGGGGACATCAGCTCTATTTTCCCTGATACTGGCTATAATATGAAACTATTAGTTTCCCTATACGAAGAGTATTATGTAAGTATTTTTGCCCTGCGCTCTTCGTATGTTTACCTCTGAGTCGACACAAGACGGTTGGCTTGAAGCCACCAAGCTTGGTGCCGTCCGGATTCTACAGCTCTACTCTGCAGTGAGCATAGACCCTGAAAATAGGTCACTTTTGAATACTTTTGAATGGAGACTAATCGTCCAAACCCCCAAAAATGGCAGGGCGTATGTTAGTTTTGTAGGCTTGGAAGGATTCGGCCTTCGGGAGCTGTTGGCAACTGGGAGCTCGGTTCAGCATCTTCTGATATATAAGGTGATGCCCCAGACTTAATTCATTTAGTTTAGTTCACTAGCTCAACTATGCTTGATGGGACACAATTATTCTGAATTGGGTAAACCAACTTGTACAGGGGGGGAACCTTGTATGATGGTACACTAAGAAGAAACAACACTAGTCCGACTACCCAATGCATATGACCTGAGGATTGTCATTAATTACTAGCATTGATTTCAAATCCAAAAATCAAAAAACTCTGAAATTTGTCACGTAAGGTCTTTGATTTCAAAGATATTTTTCAGGGCACCATGTAGCAAACAAACTTGTCAGTAAGGGAATCCAACCCATTCTGAAAATGGAAAAACAACGGTACCTTGGCTTTCACAGCAACATATTTGACTGGCAATGTTCATTCTTTTTCAACTGCCATGTCTTACATCACTTCACCCACTTTTTTATCAGCCTTCCAGGAGCCGAAAAAAATGGAGGATGATCACTTGGGATATCCCCATAGGAAACCTCCAAGTAAACCGCTTTTAGCCTCTGGTAAACTATCATTGCTTCTTGCAATTTGCATCTGAGTTCGTTGAATTACCTCTCAAAAATGGTGATTTTCCCATGTTTTCTTTGTACGTTTACCAGAGGGAAAATTCTATGGGTGTTTTTCGCAACGCTGTCGCTTTCTGGCCATGGCCTGGGCTGAAGAAAATACACCACCAACTAACCACTGATATGACTGATATCATAGTATAACCTGCAATGGTTATTAGATTTTCAATTGTTCTCAATTGGGAGTGTTCCATGGTTGATATGATCGTATTATCCAGAATTTGTTATTGGATAACTCGCAATTGTTCGAAAGGTGAACTTCATTTTGAACAGTCGGTGGCGATGAAACACCCATGTGTTTGATGGTGAAAAAGCACGACTTTGATCAACTTTGGACGCAATTCCATTTCTTGTTGGCTTAAATCCCAATTTCTCTGGATGAAAACCCATCTTTTTGGGCCACTTCCGGTTCCATTCTTCCCAGCCGCCCCGGCAAAAAAAACATCCGCGCCCGCTGGCAAGGCACGATCGGTCGC